ATGGTGGCTCCGTCGACGCGGCAGGCGTGGCTGGAGGCTCAGCGAAGCCCCGTGCCCGCGCCATGGGGGGCGCCTCGGCTGCAGGCGTCCCACCTGAGAAAGAGCCGAGGACTTCTACACCACGTGCTCATGGTGCTCTTCCTGATGATCTTTTGTCTGCTGCCAGCGGGGACCCGTTGGCGTAAGCCCGTGCTGCTGGTATGGGCAGCGCCGCCGCTGCTGCACCCGTCGCGGGAAAGGGCGCTGCTGCTCGCTCCCCCGCCTGGGCCAGTCAATGTGGAGGCCCTCTTGGCCAGCTTCAAGTCAGAGGTCGAGGCCACGATCGACGCGAAGCTCTCTGAGGCCAGAGGTGGCCTGGTTTCCCAGGTAAACAGCGCCACGGCCGCCCTGGTCAAGGCGGCCGCCCAGCAGCAGGAGCAGGTCAACAGCCAGGCGCAGGGGGAGCTTCACGAGCCACGCCAGCGCCAGTCCTCCGTCGAGAAGGAGCAGAGCGAGAGGCGGTCCGAGCTCGAGAGGATCCGCAAACAGCTCTACATCTTGGAGGCGGCCATCCCCATCAAGGATTACGAAGGCATGCTGGAGTGGGGCCTCGACCCTGATGGCACCATCATGGTCGCCAACGCCGTGGGGAATGCGGACGTTGCCAAGGTGCGAGAGCAATTGTGCCCTTGGCTTCAGGACGCAGGCCTCGAAGACACACGCTGGCGACTGGAAGGGCCTTCCTCTGGGCGTCGCTTCATCCTTCCGATGACGGGCGACGCCAACGCGGCCATGCGGAAGGTCCAGAAGGCTCGCAAGCACATCAAGGACGGGAATGGCGAGTGGCGCCAGTTCAATGTCGAGACCATCAAGGGCGGGACCTCCCGCATCTTTGTGGGTGTGGACAAGGCGGCTTGCCTGTTACGGAGAAAGATTTGGACCAAGAAGCTCGCAACGCTGGTCAAGGAGGTCTACCCACGTAAGCGAATCCGACCTGGTCGTACGAAAGGTATCATTCTTTCTGGAAGGCGTTCCAACGATCAATCTGGAGATTTGCGCGGAGCGCGACCAAGCCACGAAGCTTTTATGGAATTTCCCGGCAGTCACGAGTCAGGGCATCGACAAAGACCAGCTGTCCCAGCGCTTCAACGACATCTTCCATGAGTCGGACGAGGTGCGGTGGCAGATTTAATGCGACAGGGATTCCTTGGATAGATAACACATCGGCGCTCCCCCCTTCGACCCCTCCGTCGTTCACTACGTGGAACACTCGTGCTCTCCTCCACCGCGCTCCAGCTATACGGACACCTAAATGTGCTCGGCTGAGATCTTTTCTTCGAGATAATTATCTGGTGGCTCTTCAGAAATTTCATGGGGTGCCAGAGGAGTTGCGGCACCAGGTATATCTAGCGACTGGCTCCTCTAAGATCGCGACCTTCTTCTCGACCCCCCGCCACGACGCGGGTGGTGTATGCATCATCCTCACGTGCATCACACAGGAGGAAGTCGACGCAGCTCTCGAGCAGGGTCGCTTTCGCCACTCGGTCAAGTGTTCCTGGCTTTGTACAGCGGCTTCCGCTGCGCTTGGCACCGTCTGCGGATGGCTCGCATGACACGGTGCTGGCGGTGTACAATGTGCACAACTTTGCTGGTCCCGACTCTGCAGCTGATGGTGCTGGGCGCAGTTACCTTCGCCTCCTCCTCCTCCGCCTCGTCCTCCTCCTCCTCCTCCTCCTCCTCCTCCTCCTTTTCCTCCACCTCCTCCTTTTCCTTTTCCTCCTCCTCCTCCTCCTCCTCTGCTTCCTCCTCCCTCCTCCTCTGCTTCCTCCTCCTCCTCCTCCCTCCTCCTCTCCTTTTCCTCCTCCTCCTCCTCCTCCTCCTCCTCCTCCTCCTCCTCCTCCTCCTCCTCCTCAGCCTCCTCAGCCTCCTCGTCGTCGTCGTCCTCCTTGTCCGCCTCCTCGTCGTCTACCTCCTCCTCGACCTGCTCAGCGTCCTCTTCCTCTTCTGCCATCTGCGCCTCTTCCTCCTCGACCTCCTCGCCATCCTCAGCCTGGGCCGCGTGGCTGGCGTAGGTGTTGGCCTTGGCGTACGCGCTGGCGTTGGTGCTGGCGAAGGCGCTGACGTAGCTGGTGTCTGCGCCAGTGTTGGTGCTGGCTTCGGAGCTGGCGTCAATGCTGGCGCGGGCCGAGGCAGCGGTGTCGGCGTGGGCGCAGGCGTCGTTGCCGGCGTCGGCGCTGCTGCTGGCGGAGGCGCTGGCGTCCTGATCGATTTCCTCCTCTTCTGCCTCCTCCTCCTCCTCCTCCTCCTCCTCCTCCTCCTCCTCCTCCTCCTCCTCCCTTTTCCTCCTCCTTTTCCTCCTCCTCCTTTTCCTCCTCCCTCCTCCTCCTCCTCCTCCTCCTCCTCCTCCTCCTCCTCCTCGCCGCCCCTTCCTCCTCGACCTCCTTATCTCCCGCGACCTCGTCCACGTCCTCCTCCGCCTCGCTCCCCCTCCGCCTCCTCCTCCTCCTCCCCTCCTCCTCCTCCTCCTCCTCCTCCTCCTCCTCCTCCTCCTCCTTGAGGGCGTTGCCCCTGGCGTGGCCGTAGGCGCTGGCGTTGGCGCGAGCGGCGCTACCGTAGGCGGTGGCGTTGCCACAGGCGCAGGCGTAGGCGGCGTGGGGTCTGGCGACGCTGATGGCGTAAGCGCTGGTGGTGGTGCCTACGTAGGCGTCCTCCTCCGCCACCTCCCCCTCGGCCTCCTCCTCCTCCGCTTCCTCCTCGACCTCCTCCTCCGCCTCCTCCTTCTCGATGAAGCTCGCGTGGAAGCTGGCGACGGCGCTGGCGTGGAAGTTGACGTCGTCGGAGCTTGCTGCCTGGGGCCCGCCTTGAGCCAGCAACGCCCCACCAGGGCTGGGCACTGAGCCTCCTCGCCTTGGGGCTCCTGTTAAGGAGGCCCAAGGGTGCCCACGCTGTGGGCCGACGCGTGCTCCCGGGGCGCGCCCAACGGTTTCGTCAGGGCGGCTGCTGGTTCTTCCTACGCGAGGCCAACACCCGCCGACATGGAACTGGCGCCATCGACAGCGCGAGACTCGAGACCAAACTCCTGCCTGGTGTCCGAGTCGAGCACCTGTCTCCGCTGCGAGTTCGCCACTGCCCTCGCGGAGGCGAGGATACCCGCTCGTACTTCCCGCGCGCACGCTCTCTGTGAGAGGGGGGCGCGCCCGAGACCAGACAACGGAGCGTGGGGCATCGCTGCGGGCGACGCTTTTCGCCGACTGGTCACAAGGGCGCTCGCGTAGCAATTCGCCGAGCAGTTGGCGGTCGCAGCCGCGCCTTTCTAGTTTGCCCTAACGACGCGGGCAGGGACCGACTGCGCCCCCATGCTGCTCAGATCAGTGCTGGACCACGACGACGACGCAGTGCTTGTCAGCATTTTCAGCGTCGGGGCAGTCGATCGCTTCTCAAAGCCCGCCTTCGCCAAAAGGCTCCTCGCTCGCCCGGGGTTGTCCGGCTTACTCCCCTGTGTGGGGAGGGGGTACGGGCACAACTCGACCGACTAAGTGCCAGGGGCAAAGGGTGGAGCACGGGGCCGCGCTGGCCCAAGCAGTCTTTGCACTCGCCCTGCACGGGGCGCTATTGGGTGCGTCCCGCACCCTCGAACACGGGAACTTCTGTGTCGTTTTCGCGGACGACGGGTGTGCAAAGACCACCCGGGCCCGGGCCACAGCAGCGTTCGACATCACCAGCGGCGCAATCTACCTCTGGCGCAAACGTGGGTGGCCACCACAGCAAGTGTCGGGCTGACAGCAGGAGTGGAGGCGCAGCGCCACCTCAAGTCGGCGAGCATGGGCAGGACGTCTGGAGGGGCGACCGAGCGCCACCGGACCAAGGGATCCGAATGCTGGGTGCCCCGCCAGGCTCCGCAGAAGCCGTCGCTACACATTTGGAAAGCAGACTCCAGACCAGCCACCTGAGACGAACGATGCCGCCAGAAGAAGTCGCCGAGTACGCGAGAGGCCCCGACGCCGACGACGACGACGACGACGACGACGACGACGACGACGACGACGACGACGACGACGACGACCACGACCACGACGACGACGACGACGACGACGACGACGACGGCGACGGCGACGACGACGACGACGACGACGATGAGGAGGAGGAGGAGGAGGAGGAGGAGGAGGAGGAGGAGGAGGAGGAGGAGGAGGACGAGGAAGAAGAGGAGGAGGAGGAGGAGGAGGAGGAGGACTCCGTAGCCATTGGGAAATCTGTTTGTCCTCATTCTCGAGCGGCGGGGCAATCCTTCATTCATTCACTCTGCGGTCGGTCTCTGACGGCGCCTCCTTTTCCGCACGGCCTCTGCGCCACAGCCCTTTCGGCCATCGTCTCTGCCTGCCCGTGCCCTGCCTGGGGCGCGGCCGATGCCAGATGGTGGCTCCGTCGACGCGGCAGGCGTGGCTGGAGGCTCAGCGAAGCCCCGTGCCCGCGCCATGGAGGGCGCCTCGGCTGCAGGCGTCCCACCTCAGAAAGAGCCGAGGACTTCTACACCACGTGCTCATGGTGCTCTTCCTGATGATCTTTTGTCTGCTGCCAGCGGGGACCCGTTGGCGTAAGCCCGTGCTGCTGGTATGGGCAGCGCCGCCGCTGCTGCACCCGTCGCGGGAAAGGGCGCTGCTGCTCGCCCCCCCGCCTGGGCCAGTCAATGTGGAGGCCCTCTTGGCCAGCTTCAAGTCAGAGGTCGAGGCCGCGATCGACGCGAAGCTCTCTGAGGCCAGAGGTGGCCTGGTTTCCCAGGTAAACAGCGCCACGGCCGCCCTGGTCAAGGCGGCCGCCCAGCAGCAGGAGCAGGTCAACAGCCAGGCGCAGGGGGAGCTTCACGAGCCACGCCAGCGCCAGTCCTCCGTCGAGAAGGAGCAGAGCGAGAGGCGGTCCGAGCTCGAGAGGATCCGCAAACAGCTCTACATCTTGGAGGCGGCCATCCCCATCAAGGATTACGAAGGCATGCTGGAGCGGGGCCGCGACCCTGATGGCACCATCATGGTCGCCAACGAGGTGGGGAATGCGGACGTTGCCAAGGTGCGAGAGCAATTGTGCCCCTGGCTTCGTGACGCAGGCCTCGAAGACACACACACTGGCGACTGGAAGGGCCTTCCTCTGGGCGTCGCTTCATCCTTCAGATGACGGGCGACGCCAACGCGGCCATGCGGAAGGTCCAGAAGGCTCGCAAGCACATCAAGAACGGGAAAGGCGAGTGGCGTCAGTTCAATGTCGAGACCATCGAGGGCGGGACCTCCCGCATCTTTGTGGGTGTGGACAAGGCGGCTTGCCTGTTACGGAGAAAGATTTGGACCAAGAAGCTCGCAACGCTGGTCAAGGAGGTCTACCCGTGTAAGCGAATCCGACCTGATCGTACGAAAGGTATCATTATTTCTGGAAGGCGTTCCAACGATCAAGCTGGAGATTTGCGCGGAGCGCGACCAAGCCACGAAGCTTTTATGGAATTTCCCGGCAGTCACGAGTCAGGGCATCGACACAGACCAGCTGTCCCAGCGCTTCAACGACATCTCCCATGAGTCGGACGAGGTGCGGTGGCAGATTTAACGCGACAAGGATTCCTTGGATAGATAACACATCGGCGCTCCCCCCTTCGACCCCTCCGTCGTTCACTACGTGGAACACTCGTGCTCTCCTCCACCGCGCTCCAGCTATACGGACAACTAAATATGCTCGGCAAAGATCTTTTCTTCGAGATAATTCTCTGGTGGCTCTTCAGAAATGTCATGGGATGCCAGAGGAGTTGCGGCACCAGGCATATCTAGCGACTGGCTCCTCTAAGATCGCGACCTTTTTCTCGATTCCCCGCCACGACGCGGGTGGTGCATGCGTCATCCTCACGTGCATCACACAGGGGGAAGTCGACGCAGCTCTCGAGCAGGGTCGCTTTCGCCACTCGGTCAGTGTTCCTGGCTTTGTACAGCGGCTTCCGCTGCGCTTGGCACCGTCTGCGGATGGCTCGCATGACACGGTGCTGGCGGTGTGCAATGTGCACAATTTTGGTCTCGATGCGAAACCTGCAATTCCAGCCTGGCCCGCGTTGCAGCGGAGGTCGACGTCGCCGAGGCCAATCCCCCGCGCTCGACGATCATGGTCCTGGGCGGTCGGAACTTCCATGAGAAGGCGGCGATGTACTTGGCTACCCCTGAGATCGAC